TAGCTACTACAGCAGGGGAGTTCTCGAGATCTACCTGAGCTCAAACTCCCCTCTCGCCTCTGCAAATGGGAGGGAGCCCTGGGCTCGAGGACCTTATGAGCTCAGGGCTGTCTTTATAAACAATCATCAGCTAAGTGTGAACTCTTGAAACATCATTTGAGAAATAATTGAAAAAGAAAAAATCTATATTTTATTTGTTTTGCTAAACTCATCTGTTCAGTTTTTAAATAAAAATGCTTAACTGCAGCATTTATGCAGAGAAATATTACCCATAAAGCTGAGCACAATCTTTTACCAATCAATGCACTACTGTAAGGAAATGAGCTGACCAGCACTGAGCACACATTATTACTCTGATCTCCACAGTCTGAACACATCACATCACACACCTGCTCACTGGACCACAACACACACACACACACACACACACAAACACACATGACAGCAGTGATGCCAAATCATAAATATTAAGCAGATGAAGGAAGTTTGATGTCAGCATTTCTCTGAGTTTCCTGTTACCTCTGAGCAGCAGAGCGTGACATTACAACTGAACAATCCAGCCCTCCATACACACACATAACTATCCATCCACACTCATCTATGCACGCACAAATGCATATACACACACACACACACACAAATTCATGCATGCACTCACACACACATATACACATGCACAAATACACACATTCATGCACACACACACAAACACAAACACACGCACACACACGCATACATATACACATCTATGCTTGCACACTTATCCATGCATACACACCTATGCACACACACACACACACAATCAAACATGGACATGCACACAAACACACAATCACACAAACACATCCATCCATGCACAAATGCACACATACACGCTCATACATTTATGCATTCACTCACACACACACACACGTGCACATATACATATATGCACACATACACTCACACATACATACATCCATGCATGTACACATGCACAGATACACATTCATGCACACACACACACACACACACACACACACACACACACACACACACACACACGCACACTTATCCATGCATACACACCCATGCACATGGATTTGCACACACACACTTATACGTGCACAATGCGTGCACAGATACACATGCACGCACACACACATGCACAATCACACATGCATGCGCAGATACACACACACACACAAACTCAAACGCACTCAGATTCATCCATGCACACACAGCGACACACACAAATATACAAGCATATACACACTCTGGTATGGGGTCTGCCCATGGTAATGATTTTCACACTGGTCAGACTGTACAGTATATGAGTCTGGCCTTCCACTAAAGTCAACACTCTCTGAAAACACTCACACGCAGGTTTACCTCTGCACGATGCTTCATTCAGGCAGACTGATGAGCCATCTTTCTCATGAGAACAACTAAATATTCCCACAAGCTCAAAAATGATATACTTGAGGGGACATTTGGTGATGAACAGCAGAAGCCCATCTATTACCTCATGCACACACACATGAATAAACACACGCTCAGAAGGGAGCATTGGAGACTCACTGATCCTAAAGTCAGTTCAATTCAATTCAATTCAGCTTTATTTGTATAGCGCTTTTACAATGTAGATTGTGTCAAAGCAGCTTCACATAAATGGTCATAGTAACTGGAACAGTGTGGTTCAGTAACTGGAACAGTGTGGTTCAGGTTTTAGTGTTCAAGTTCAGTTCAGTTCAGTTTAGCTCAGTTCAGTGTGATTTAATCATTACTGAGAGTTCAAACACTGAAGAGCCAATTCATCGATGCGTAGCTCTACCAATCCTGAACCATGCGAGGCAGTGGCGACAGCGGAGAGGGAAAAAAAACTTCACCTGATGGGAATGAAGAAAAAAAAAAAACCTTGAGAGAACCAGACTCAGTTGGGCACGACCATTTTAATTTCTCCGCTGGCCAAAAGTCTTGTGCAGAACTTCATTCGCCGTGGTTTGTCAGTGGTTTGTCAGTCAGTCATTCAGATGTCCAGAAACACTCAGGAGACGCAGAGAGAGGTGAAGGCCACAGGTCTAGGATGAGGAGAGTCACTCTGCCTTCTTATATAACACTCACAGCATTGATATAATGGAGAGAGAATGAAAGAGAGAAAGAGAGAGATCTCACTGTCTGCTGCTATTAAATACAGGGACAAAGACAATTTTCCTAAATCTCGTTTCACTGCACATGCACAAAAATCCATAACAGTGTTTTATTTAATATTAAGCATCCTAATACCAAGCATCCATATTTGTTATGTATATTTAAACACACATGCGGGCATGTACACACACCGGCCACTTTATTAGGTACACCTGTCCAACTGCTCTTTAATTCACATATCTGAGAAACTCAATGCATTTAGGCTTGTAGACATGGTCAAGACGATCTGCTGCAGTTCAAAGCGAGCATCAGAATGAGGAAGAAAGCTGATTTTGACATGGCATGGTTTTTGGTGCCAGATGGGCTAGTCTGAGTATTTCAGAAACTGCTGATCTACTGGGATTTTCACGCACAACCATCTCTAGGGTTTACAGAGAAAGGTCTGAAAAAAATATCCAGTTATAGAAAGGTGTTACCAGTGTTAACAGTAACTCAAATAAGCACTTGTTACAACCGAGAAGAGCCTCTCTGAACGCACATCATGTCCAACCTTAAGGCAGATGGGCGACAGCAGCAGAAGACCACACCAGGTGCCACTCCTGTCAGCTAAGAACAGGAAACTGAGGCTACAATTCAGACAGGCTCACCAAAATTGGACAATAGAAGATTTCGATTTCGGATTGTAGGGTCAGAATCTGGTGTCAAAGCTTGTATCAACTCTTTTCAGGCTGGTGGTGGTTGTGTAATGGTATGGGGGATATTTTCTTGCCAGATTTTGGGCCTGTTAGTACCAATTGAGCAACGCGTCAAGGCCACAAGCAACCTGAGTATTGTTGCCGACCATGTAATGTAATGTGTATTTATATAGCGCATTCATCATGTATGGCCATACACCCAAAGCGCTCTCTCCACACCCCCACCAGTGCTCAACATCCACTTGAATGATGCGACGGCACACCACAAACCAGCTATTGGTGCAGTAGTTAGACAGTGATACAGTCATTTCAGTGGATGGGGATGATTGGGAGGCCATGGTGGTTAAGGGCCGAGAGTGATTTTGGCCAGGACACCGGGATTATACCCTTACTCTTTTACGAACAGTGCCATGGGATTTTTAATGACTACACAGAGTCAGGACCTCGGTTTATCGTCTCATCCAAAAGATGGCACCCACTAACAGTAAAGTGTCCCCTACACCATCTCCATCCCTTTATGACCACAGTGTACTAATCATCTGATGGCTACTTCCAGCAGGATAACGCTTCATATCATAAAGAAGGAATCATCTCAAACTGGTTTCTTGAACATGACAATGAGTTCACTGTACTCAAATGGCCTCCACAGTCACCAGAACTCAATCCATTAGAGCACCTATGGGATGTGGTGGAATGGGAGATTCGCTTCATGGATGTGCAGCCGACAAATCTGCAGCAACTGTGTGATGCTATCATGACAATATGGAACAAAACTCTGAGGAATATTTCTAGTATCTTGTTGAATCTTGGCAGTTCTGAAGACAAAAGAGGGTCCAAGCCAGTACTAGTAAGATGTACATAATAAAGTGGCCAGTGAGTATATATATACACACACACACACACACACACACACATGTTACAAATTATAAATTTAAAAATCTATGCAACAGAGGAATTGTATAGTTTTGTTTTTATGTATGTGTGTGCATCACACACATATTTTTGCTGCTTGTTCAAACTACTTATTTAAAATGAGCTCAAACAACAGTTCTGAAGGTTTTTTTAGTGACAACTTAATGGTTTTTACAATTTTATGCTGATTTAATGTAAACAACTAATTTAATTTAATCAGTTTGCGTTGAGCTGAGCTAAAGGGATTGTGTGGAACCCAGCATTTTGTAAAGTGTATGTTATGTATGTATGTATATGTAGGCTATGTATGTATGTATATATATATATATATATATATATATATATATATATATATATATATATATATATATATATATATATATATATATATATATATATATATATATAATAACACACTTATATTACGTCAAAATATTTTGGATGCGATTAATCTTTGTCTAGCATTGATTTAAAATGAAATGGTTTGTAAACAGTAAAGCTGAATGTGTGCTGTCTGACTGATTTAATTTCATTCTGCTCCTGCTGCTTATGTATAAAAAGATTTAGCAGAATCTTTCTCCGGCTAATCATTTATTACTGTGTTTCAGCATGTGTGTGTGTGTGTGTGTGTGCTCTCGTGCTGAAGTGTCACTGCAAACACCATTCAGTGCGTTCAGAAATGAGATTATACTGCGCTTGTCATTCATCATCAGGCCTCGTGCAGGAGAAGAAGAAGACTTCATATATTCATAAGCACAACTGATGCTGTCCATCAAATAACATCTGCTTATTTCTTTTGGATACTTACATCATTGAGCCGGTGCATGCTTTACTTCCATTCACAAAGACCGCTGAATTAGTATGTGAAGTAATTATCTTAAGAAGAAGTCTAGAATATTGAAAACTGAAAATAAATAAAGTTAAATATTGAATGTTAATGTACAGTTTATTCTCGTTCATTATTATTATTATTTAATTGTATTTTCAATCAACTTATTATTATTTATTTTTATTTTATTCATTTTTATTGGTTTACTTCTAGTACTCAGCCTACTGTGTTTACTATGTTTTTTTACATAAACTGTATTTGTTTTTTAATGTAAACTTTATAAATGCTTTTCAATACATAATACATTTGTAACATTTACCATGCCAATAAAGCAATTATTGAATTGAACTGAATTAAGAGAGAGAGAGAGAGAGAGAGAGAGAGAGAGAGAGAGAGAGAGAGAGAGAGAGAGAGAGAGAGAGAGAATCCACAGGCACACCACACACTCCTTCAGTCAGTTTTTCGAGGCTCTTCAGCTTTGCAGGTTCATGACGGCCGAATGAAAAAGCGCGAAAACACACACACACACACACACACACACACACACACACACACACACACACACACACAGTCAAAACCTTGATTTGAATTTCATCCAGAAGCGATGAGGGCGGCGCGAGACTCAGACAGGCGGACGCGGGGCTGAAGTGCGGCAGGAGCGGGGCTGGAGTGGAGCTGAAGCGGGGCCGGTGTGGAGCTCTCCGCGGTGCTGAAACCGGTCCCACAGCGACGTTCATCGACGTGAATGCAAGACCGACGGAGGACATTCACATCCAGCCTGCGAGGACAGCATGAGGAGGGTTTTCATGCCCACACCGCTGCTCTTACTGAGCTGTTTCGGAGCGTCGTGGGTCTTGGCTGGTAAGTTCGCGAGATTAATATAAAAAAATATGGAGCATGCATTTAATTGCACGTGCTTTTTTGTATGTTATTACATCTAATCAGGGGGCGGAAACATATACAGTTGTGGTCATGCAATGACTGAGAGAGCATATTGGAAAATATAAAGCATGCAAACCATTCCGTCATGCTTGATGTGGGAAATATTAAAGCATTATTACACACCTGTTGACTCATAACACACACACATATATCATAGAATTCAATTAATGTGTGCAATCTGAAATTATTAATACGGTCAAACTGTTCAATTAAACTCAACTTTATTTGCATAGCGCTTTTCAGAATAACTAACATTGGTTTTACTAACATTTGTTAAGGTAAGTGCTTGCAAATTATGTATATGGGCTGAATTTAAACAAACAAAGTTGAACATCTCTAAATTTAATGCTTGTGTATATATTCAGCCCATATAAATTATTTGCAACCACTTGCCATGTATAAAAACAATTAGTAAATCCAATGAATAATTTTTCAGTTTGTATTTTTATTTTTTTCATATTTATGAATTGCATTTTGTACCTTAATGCCATGCAAATCTCATCAAATTGCAATCACAGAGAGACTATACTGACAGACACTTCACTATATACTGTCCTGCATAAATGTCAGCAGCTAATTGAAGCACGACACATTAATGCAGCACCATAAAGACGTTTCCTCTAATGCACACACCACGCCAGAGGATCAATCATAAATCCTAACTACAGCCTACAAACTACATCAACTCAATGGGCTATAAATTTAACATCCTAAATGCACCGTATTCGAGCTCCAGTAAAGAGGGAAAAGCCATGAATCAGGATGTGAACAGGCTCTTCTGGCAGCTGCTTTTAGAGGCTTCAGTGACAGGAGCTTCAGCTTTCTGGAGAAAAAAGAACATGTGCGAGTTTACTTTGGGGAAATGCATTAAATGCTCAAATGTAGCTGTGAGAGAAAAAAAAATAGAAGATGAAGAGAAAGAAATATGGCAAAATAATAGCCTGAGCACCTGTCTGTGCAAATCAGGTCAGCATAGTAAAATATGATGTGATTTAGGGCTTAAAAGGAAGGAGTTTGCACCAAAAATAAACACATTAGCCTAATGTCAGCAGTTATGAAATGTTATTTCACTTGTAGAATCAAAAATACATTTTGAGGCTTATAGAGTATGTGTAGGGAGTGGCACAGTGGGTAGCACTATCACCTCACAGCAAGAAGGACGTTGTTTCGAGTCCCAGCTGGGTCAGTTGGCATTTTTGTGTAAAGTTTGTTGTATTTCTCAACTATAAATGTACTTCTTGAATAGTGATGAAATTTCATTTTAGCCTGTCCTTACTTTTTATGCATATGTAGTTTACAATAGTAAATTAACACTGCATTATGCCTAAATGAAGCATGCAATCCTTTTTTAAAGTCGACTATCCAATTACTACATTTCACTGTCTGTTTTTCTATCATTCCTTTATCTTTATTATTTTAATTACACATATAATCAGTATATTTTATTATTAATACATTTTATATAGGCGTTTTTTGTTCTGGGTTTGTTGGGGATGCTTTATGAATATATGGAGACCATAAACTGAATACTACACTAAAAAATGCTGGGTTGTTTTACCCTATTGTTGGGTCAAATATGGACAAACCCTACTGTATGTCTAAGTTTTTTCATTTAATTAAAATTACACTTTTTTCCATTGATTGGGTTTGTGAGTTGGCACATTTGACCCAAAATTGGGTTAAAATTCATTAATTTTCCTTCAGCTTAGTCCCTTTATTAATCAAGGGTCACCACAGTGGAATGAACCGCCTACTTTTCCAGCATATGTTTTAGACAGCGGATGCCCTTCCAGCTGCAACCAAGTACTGGAAAACATTCAAACACATTCATTCACACATAATAATTTTGTTATTTTGTTTATTCAACTCACCTATAGCGCAAAAGTGGGAGAAACCAGAGCAAAACCCACGCCAAAACGGGGAGAACATGCTAACTCTACACAGAAATGCCAACTGACCCAGCCGGGATTCGAACCAGCAACCTTCTTGCTGTGAGGCAATAACAAAATAACTCAGCGTTTTCTGCATAAAATCTATAAATATAGTCCATATTACTCGTGTAACATATTTTCACATCACAGCGTTCAGACAGAAAAGAAGTCAATATTTACAGTATATGTGGGTTGTTTACTCACTGTGAATCTGGATTTGGACCAGAACACTTTCACCTCTTTTCCTTCCAGACATTTTCTCACTCATTTAGTCAACGTTTCCACAGCAACCAAGCACAAACCTATGGAGATTTACATTTGTGTATTTCTGCGTTAACATCCCTTTTCCCAAAAACATGTACACACTCACTAGCTCATGTTTAATGTTACAGTGTAAAAGAGACGGATTTATTTCAGGATTTATTCGCAAAAACAGTGCTCAGCATATATGAGTGCACCCATAGGCGGAGGATGAACAAATTCCAGGGTATATATGAGGTGCCCTTTAATGCATTTAAAAAGTTTTGCGACCGACAAATCAGAGATGTCAACAAAAGCACAGCCCATCACCAAAAATCTATTATATTCAACACACGCATTAAATTATTTTATTAAACTTTGGGTCAGTTTATTTATTAATTTGTATTATAAATTTTATTTAATAATTTAATTAAAATTATTCTGTTCATTAAGGCGGCATTTATTATATACAAGTTCAATTATTATATATAAGTTTAATTGTTTAATACTTATTTATTAAATATTTACTTATTACTTACACTGTATGTAGTTTCAAATGAAATTATTAATCCTTGTTGCTTTTTTTACTATGGCCATTAATAATAATAATAATAATTATTATTATATTATATTATATTATATTATATTATATTATATTATTTTATATTATATTATATTATATTATATTATATTATATTATATTATTTTATGTTATGTTATATTATATTATATTAATTATATTATGTTATATTATATTATATTATATTATATTATATTATTTTATGTTATGTTATGTTATATTATATTATATTAATTATATTATATTATATTATATTATATTATATTATATTATATTATATTATATTATATTATATTATATTATATTATATTATTTTATGTTATGTTATATTATATTATATTATATTAATTATATTATATTATATTATATTATTTTATGTTATGTTATATTATATTATATTAATTATATTATATTATATTATATTATATTATATTATATTATATTATATTATATTATATTATATTATATTATATTATATTATATTAATGGAAGTCCTCTGTCCAACACACAAAAATGTCAGTCAACATAAACAATAGCCACTGCCCTACCTAATGCAGCAAAATCCTATCCTTTTAGACCAGGCATTATAAGGGTTGATAAAGTCTTTTTTGTTTAGTCCTGTAATGTTACTTTCGATATGCAGCTAGGGGCCAGACATTTTAAAATGAATAGACCTAAATAGGGTAGACCTCAGTGCCTAGAATAGCTAGTATTTTATATTTATGATCTCTGGTAATATACAGTAGTGATTTATTTAACAAGTGACATTTTTGAGCATTGTTTTTTGAGCAACTACCCATTTCATTTAATGCAGAAAACAAGTTAAACCAGAATAATATATTATTATACCTCTCTCGTAATACTCATTTGTCATTTAATACTTATGTAACTTAATCAAATCAAAATAGTTGGCTGGGCAGCAACTTTGGTTTTCAAAGCTGCTGCAAACTCCAGTAACAAGCAGCGCTCATCAGTGCAAAGTGCAGAGTTGGACAGTTCCATTTTTGTGCAGAGGGGGACTTTAAATTTGATCGACAAACTTACAATCACTAAGGTGTTCTGTTAATCATTAACTAATCATAAATTACATTCATATTCCGCCTTACACTCGTTACTTGTATTCAATGTAGTTTTTTTCGGTAACACTTTACAATAACAGTACATGAATAATGATGTATTAATATGTAAACTAAACATTAGTTTATTATAAATTAATGATGAGTTAAGGTATGCACTGATCATGAATTAACTTTAACTACAACATGATTCACATGAGTTCATGTGTGAATGATGGCTACCTTAATTACTTGTTAGTACATGATTGTTTGTTATTTAATGTATTAATTACCACATTAGTTTATGCTTAATTTAATCATGATGAACTCATGATATGTTAATGTATATTTATGTTGTGACTTTACTTGGAGGGGCACATCATCATTAACCCATTCTTAACTACTCATGAACTCCTTATGCACGTCCAACTAGTGAGTTTACACTGAATAACAATAGAAAGGTGTTCTGTCAACATCAACATGAACAGGAGTTCATGAGTAGTTAAGGATGAGTTAATAGTGATGTGCCCCTCCAAGTAAAGTCATGACATAACTATACATTAACAGCTCATGAGTTCATGTTGGTTACATTTGGCTTTAACTTACATGTTAATTAATACATTAATTAACAACATGTCAGGGTTCTGCCACTTTGGTCTTGTAAATTCTTGTTTTGGTGGCAGAGCTCTGACACTACTCAGGTCTGGTCCTGTTCCTGTCTCTGTGTGCGCGCGTGCCGTTGTGGGTGTACGCAGAGTGTGCGCGCTTCTGCTTGACGCGGCCGCGCGCGCGCTCTGCGTCCCTCAGACGCGTGCGCTCTTGTACTCGTGTTTGTGTTTTCGTTTGTCAGCAGCGTGGTGTTTCATTCCCAGCGTCTCAGTCTTGTTGGTTTCGGTTTTGGTCGGCGCTGGGATGAAGCGTGTGAGCGCACGGTGAGTGTTTTCATTCATCATGTGCTCGTGTCTTGCATCTTTTGTCAAAGCACGTGGCTCGGTGTTTACATTGTGGTCACGTACTTTTGTCGTGTGCTTCAGTGTTGTGTTATGTGAGCGCATGGCTTGTATTGTCTCTCTGTGTCATGCGCTCTCCCGTCTATTGTCTAGTCCCACCCTC